TTTTATTGAACTATCTGATAAAATTTGTACATTATTTTAACTTTTAAATATTTATTAAAATTATCTGAATTAATAAAATGTATAAACTCAAGGTTTTTCAACATTTTCAAAGATGTAGTGTGTTTGATTCTTAAATGCTGTGTAATTAGTTTTACCTTGTGCTTGATTAAGTCAGCTTTTATTGATTTGTCATCTATAGCTAGATAACTCAGCTGCTTGAACATACCTTGTTGAGTAATTTGCTGTTTTAACTTTATATTTCCAAGTCAATTACGAGTTTTTCAACATTTATTAAAATATGGAAACTTTTACCAATCAAGATTATGCCAACATGATGAATACAGTAATTATTATTAACAGTAAAACTGTGCAAAAACAAAATCTGTAAACCGTGTTTTATTGTAGTTTATTAGTAATTTCTCACTGGTTTATATCAATAATAGTATTGAATAGCATATCATTTGAAAGATTATTAAAATCTCAAGTTTTTTATGCATTTCAACATTGCATAAATGCAGGTTTATGTATCAAAGGAGGCTCATGAAAGTTATCGTAATTAATTAATTTAATGACATTTTTACTTTATTTTGGATATAACGTGGACTATGTAATGGTATAATTGTGGAATGAAACCTTTGATTTATAGAAAATTTAATGTTCTTTCCAATGATTTTACCTACAACTCTCTAAAGTAATTGATTAAGTTTTTATTACATAAATTGTGGAGCAAAGTCTAATAAAATAAGAAAAACACAAAATCCCCCAAAACAGCCAAACGGTCGAAAATCGGACATGGGTTTATAGGATCTTTTTTGTTCCTTTTAGTGAGTAGAACCCACTGGCGAAGTTAACACGGTCAGTAGAAACTCACCCTGTATATCGAAAGAATTCAACATTTTAGTAAAATTTGTAAATCTAGATTTATTGATCTTGTCATTATTAATTGAAACAAAAATTGTGCATTATAAATTATTTATTGAAAATAAAAATAACAAAAACGGAGGTAAACAAAGAGAAGGTCTTTACTCAGAGGATGGTGTACAGGGATCCTGACTCATTGATAAATTCATTAATTTTTTTTAAGAGATTGGCGGCCTCTTTTAACCTTGCATTTACCCGTCCACATAGACTACAGATCTGTTCGTGGAACATATCCAGCAAAGCAAGGTAAAAGTTACTGATAAAAGTTTTCTTGCTCTTAACTAATTAGAAAGAATGACCTATGAAGGCTTGACCTCTGATGTTATTAACGGAAAATTTTAGCACCAGTAAAATTTACATATGTGAGCGAAACCTTTGACTATTAATACAACGCGAAACCTGCGTAGCTAACATAAAACATGTCTAAAAACAAGCTACTGTAGATGTTTAGTAGGATGAAAAGTATACTAGCACAGTAGAAGTCTATGATTTTATATTTCTTTTCTATTAAAACTTTAGCCTACTCCAACAAATTTGACTGAGGACTCAAAACCCAAAAATATGTTAATAATAAAGAAAATCTCAGCCCATTTAATCCCTGATAACCAGTACCTATTATGCTTGAAACAAGAGATTACTAAATGCTAAAGTGTTTTATTTTAGGAAATTCTGAATAATGTTAGGGCTAGAACTTTAACAAGAGAAGATTAATGATTAATTATAAACTAGTTCAAATTTTGTAGGCCTAACCAATTAACAATACATTACGCTTTGTTCTTAGTGTTTGTAATATTTAGAGAAAAGAATTTAACTTCAATATAAGCTCGGCTGAAGTTAATATATATCCTTAAGTTGTATACCGTACTTTAGTTTTGATAAGTTGCCAAACACGTTTCCAAGGCCTAGGCAAATGTGTTTACCATTACACTGGCCCATAACAGATATTAAAAGGTAAACATTTCAAGCTAAATGTTAGCTAATAAATAGCTAAGAGATCTAACCTCTATGTGATATAGTTTAATATTATGATTCTATTACGAAGGTTTCCTTAAATTTAAAATGTCAAATAGTGTCTAAATAATTTTACACTTGAATGCAGAGTAGAGGTATCAAGGAGGTTACAATCTAATCTCAAATGTTCTTATCAATATAATTTTACACTTAAAGCACATCTGTGAACAACAATATTGCCTGAAATTGCTGAAACGTTCTAGTAAAACAATGAGCCCAGGTTGTTAACAATTTAAAAACTTGTTGGCTCTTACAAAATTGTATTGTTTAATTTCTTTACATTAGCCTATTAAAAATCTCCACATGTTACTTCAGCATAGGCGGATCTAGGCCCCAAAATGTGGGGGGGCTAAACCGGGATGCCGGGGGGCCTGGGGGGTATGGAATACCCTTCAGTGTGGAGGCCCCCCCCCCCCCCCGAAAATGTTTGAAAAAATATAAGCTCCAAAGACGTATTTTAGGCTACCTATTTGGAAATCAAAATAAAAGGAACTACGAATTCAGTGAACACGGTGAAGGACCTTGTAATCAGCTAATTTACAAATTCCACGTAAGAACTTACACATTATGGAAAATAGCTGACATAAGGTAAAAGAAAGGAACAGACTGATCCAAACCCTAAATGTGTGTGTACTGTGTACCTACGATCCTAAATGAATTGCTGGTTTGTAGCATATAATCTTAAAAAGACTATTAATACTGTACTGTAACTCAGGTCTTCTCACAGACAAAGTCAAGAACTAGACTTTGTCTATTGAGAGCTCCAACACCTTTTTGGTAATGGTACAAGACGTTATTTTTCACTATTTAGGGTGTCTAGTTTATTACCATTTAAAAATTCAAGACTAATTTCAGAATTTTTAGGACTAGATGCCAAATTTTTCAAGACTGGATTTTTCAACAATTAGTGATGTATTGATAGCAAAATGTAGCGATTCTCAATTCTTGATACTAATGCAATTTTTTATAATTTAACAAAATTTTTGAAATTTTTGATCACTCACAATTTAGGTACCGTACTTAAATTTGATAGTTATATCACGTTTCTGGTTAGGAAATATCGTCAATTAAAATAGACTAGTCAGTAGACTTACAAAGGTAATAAAACTTAAAACAGCCGTAACTCCGTTACCTAATATTTGTGAGCGCATCTATCAAGGTTCCCATGGTCATGTTCGTCGCAATAATTACCGCAAAAAATTCAGATGTACCGGTAGGCAAAATATCCTTTGGTGAATTAAAAGTTACTGCTTGCTCATAATAAAAGCTTAGTTAGGGCCTACTGAATTCAGTGGAATAACACTTGAATGGCTAAGTTAAGGATTCTATATATTAATTTGAAACTGTTTTTCTTTGTCACAGCTATTTTGAGAGAACGGCTGGGCGTAGAAACTCGGTAGGGGTGTCTAAAGAAAGGTCTTGGTCTGTAGATGAGCCATCAAAAGAGAAACATGGTGAATTCCCTTGGGGCTCTGCCCCCGTGGCCTTTAAATTCCCATCCCATGTTATTCTTATGGAGGAAAACGGGGTTTTTGTCACAGCTAATTTGAGAGAGCGGCTGGGCGTAGAAACTTGGTAGGGGTCTCTAAAGAAAGGTCTCGGTCTGTAGATGAGCCATCAAAAGAGGAACGAGGTAAATTCCCTTGGGGCTCTGCCCCAGAAGCCTTTAAAGTTGCCTCTTCAGATTTGTTTACATTATGACCATATTCATAATTCTACACTACTTTCTAAAGCAACAGCTGTTAATATTTAAATTGTGATTTACTGAATTTGTCAAAATGAAGTACAGTATTTGCAATGGATTTTTCTGATTTTAAAATTGATTTTCTTCTGCATCGTGTCATGTTTTGCAATATCATGTTGTATTACCAAATCAGTGGGAAATCCTAATATCACAGTAACTTTTGAAATTATTTCTTATGGTGTTATCTATTGTATTGGTTGGTTTCTGCCGTTTTTACCACTTCTTGGAGATTGTACGTAGGTGATATTCTTTGGCATATTGCATCTGTAGACGAAACTTGGGTTGGTGTAATTATTACAATGGAAAAGAGCGAGAAATCCTGGACAATTTGATATAGGCTAAAAATAAAACTGAATTAACACTGTGCTACATTTCTTGAGCAATCATTGAAATAACCGATTTGCAAACAATGGAAACATAGAAAAAGTCATAGAACACAACCAAGTAGAAGAAATAGAAATAATGTTTTTTTTTACACTAAAAACACAAAAAAGCTTTTTGAAAAAAGATAAGATATTTACAAAAGATTTTGATTATTTCCAACTGTTGTGTAGATCGTGAGTATTTCCATAATTGTTGAGTCACCTGTAATGCTTTGCAATTGCTCGAATTCGAGCAACAGGTACACTAGTTATACATGAATTTGACAATTGCTGGCTGTCAAACTTAGTTATAGTTATCTGGTAATAGTGAAGGCCAGGTCCTACATTATTAGATTTAACTACTCGATAGGCCTAGTTCAATTTTTTCTGCCAAGGGGGGTGGGGTTGCACACCCACGTGTAACCTGGCTGTTTCCACCACTGTTTCAGGCCTGTGCGTGAAATAAAACAATTGAACAGGTTAGCCAGTACAGTACTGATAAAGTGTTGTCCGGTAGCAGATATAAGGATCCAAACCCTTGACATCGTTACCATGGATTCAAAGTCCATCAGTCTACAGACTGTGCCATTGACTTCAATTGATTTGTTGAACTGGGCCAGATCAATTATAACCAATGGGTTACATAAAATCTATGGTTATTAACTGGATTTAACTTAGGCCTATTATCTCCATTAAAGATGGCTAACATTAATGATACCTACCCCACCATCAGACAATAGGTACCGTAAGTACTGTCTACGTTAGGTGCATGGGAAAAAATAATCAACTTATTGTTTTTTTTTACCTGTGATAAGTTAGTAGTCCCTTAAGTTATTTTCTAAGTTTAATTTTTATAGATTTGTAGTTAACTTAGTGCACAGTGACGACAAAGGAAATTGTATTGATCCTTAACTACCTAATAAAACAAACAAATTCTACAGGGTTCCATTCCATAGGCCTACCTGATTAATCCTTTTAAGGCGCTCTTAGTTTAGGTTATGCCGATATCCAATTAGCAGCCAATGCCAGTAGCAGCTTTGAAGTATGGATGAAGGAGATCGTATAAGTTATTACGTTTGCACATAAATGAACTATAAAAAAAACGTAAATTATAGGATATAAATGAAAATACAGCACAAGCACGAAAGTCTACAACAGGACCGATACACACCACACAGAAACAGACGCCTTTGGCTTTGACTCATGAGCATGACGTATATAAGTGATGACATGATGACAACGAGAAGAAGACGAAGACAATGACAACCGTCGCAGTGTTGCCACTTGCCAGTTCCAGTCAGTTGCCACCTCGTTGTTGCGATTTTACCCTAGAGCGGGCTAAAATTACCCTAAATGCTAATATTTATGTTTAATGCTATATAACATTGTTAAATACCCCCGCCGCAGCAAACCTGCCGACTAAGCGAATTTCCATTTGTCTGAATTGATTTTCAGTTAAATATATTTTAATAACATTAGGTTTAACGAGTACCTAGGTTTGCTGCTACAAGGAAACTAATAAAGTGTGTTTTTGAGTAAAATATTGATAGCTTAGTAGAAAATAAATAAATTTGCCAAGTTTGATCAAAATATATCCATAAACAAGCAAACTACAACATTTGACAATATTCTCCATAAGAATAACATGGGAATTTTAAATTTACAATCTTTTTAATTTTCTCCGTTACTAATAATCGAACAAAAATACTTTTATCAAAGATTACATATGCTAATGTAATCTTTGCTTTTATATACTAAATTATTTGTTTTTTTAAGCTCTTTAAAAAGGTCTAAAGATAAATCGGGAAATTTTGTGTTTTGAGGGTCAAAAGTGAGAAAAACCAATTTTTACCCCATAAAACCCCCCGTAAAGCCCCGTTCCCATGATCCGATCGTGCTGGTTTGCGAACTCATTCAAGTTTATCCCGCTTTACACCTTTAAACAAAATTTCATCAAAATCGGACAAAAATTACTCAAGTTATCGCGTTCACGGACGTATATATATATATATATATATATATACATATATAAAAATTTGAACGAATGGTGTTTTTGGCCTCTGGGGACATCAAAATGAAAAAGTAAATCGGTCCCGGGTCTAGGTCTTACCGTGCCACCTACGGTAATAGCTACTTCCCTATAGGGAAATTCGCTAAAAATTATAACTCTTACCTAAGGGAGTATGTTTTATCTATGCTCTTACATAAGAAGGTTAATTGTACTAAATAAGGTTTTAATATCAATCAATATACGTAAAATTATACTCGATTCTCGAAAACAACCCTAAAAAAGTACAAAAAGTTGATATTCAGCTCTAGGTATCGCATAAATGTATAATATATCAAACCAAACCAGGAATTACTGTTTTTTTATGTATTGACCCATTACTACCTTTTTGGACCATCATCGCTTTATAATACAGTACGGTACCAAAGCTTTAATCTAGATACTGTACACATCAGTGTACACTCAGTAATTTTTTGACACAATTGGTAAAATACTAAATAATCCTAATGTATAATTCAACTCAATCACAACTAAATAGCAATAAAGAAACATTTAATACCTATTACTGTATTTCATACTTTTTCCTACAGTTACCTAACAATGTACATGTTCTCTCACTGATTTGAGAAAGCAAAGTGGCCAATTCGCTCACCAGTGTTGCAACGCGAAGGCACGAAATAGTGAGCGCGTAACATGCAGACTAGGTCGTATGCGCGCGAAATACGTTGGCAGCACCGGCTGTAAATCAGCTGGTCAGCTGTTGTACTGTTGTATCATTGAATGTCATATTAAAAGTTCACTTCTGTGTAAACATATGTCACGTTTCTTTACCAATTTATTTGTTTTATGGTAACTGTACGAAAAATATAATGTGCAAGTCGAGTGCAAAGTGCAATTGCCTCACTCGAGAAACCATTCCTCACTCGCCTACGGCTAGTGAGTAAGTATTTCTCTCGAGTGAGTCAAATACTCCCTTTGCTCACTAGTTGCACAAATAACTATATTATAACGTGTTAAAGAATCAAATACATTCTAAAACAGATAATTCACGACTATTGATAAGAAATATTATTATGGGACATAGCAATTGATTTAAACCGTTGAGTCGCGTATCACGATTTCGGTTTGCCATCCTTATATATAATACGTTAAGGCGATTTCTACGAAACACTACTCCTCCGTAAATAACGGACGGATTTTTAAAAACGACGTGTCAAAATAAAGTATTTTTTGTGTGGACGCCCCCTTTCAACAATTCCTGTAATAAAAATCCTCGGGCTTTACCCCACAGGCCATCAAAGTTGGAGTTTCTCCCATAAGATTAACATGGGGAAATCTAAATATTTAACTGGAAACTTTGTCCCCACTAATTTGAGAGAACGGCTGGGCGTAGAAACTTGGTAGATGTGAAACATGTCACCATAGATAAAACCATTGACTATATATACATACAGTGTATAGTATATACAAGAATACATAGTCAATGATAAAACCTACTCGTTTTATCTATGATGTCACTTACCGTTAAGAATATTTTTTTAGAAAGTTAGCGTGGTGTCTTTCTACGTCGGCCTTGAAGAGCCATAGAGAGAGAAATATTTTATGCAACTTCGTGTTTAAAACACGAAATTTCGACTTTAAAACTGGAAATTTCGACTTTTAAATACGAGGTATCGACTTATAAACTCGAAATTTCGACTTTCAAACATGATATTTTGACTTTTTAAACTCGAAATTTTGATATTTCAACACGAAATCTGCAGGGGAAAGGGAACCGCGGGTCTTCCTCAGTTCCTCATTGGCATTGGGAGTTGGACTTGAGCTATGTTCGTTGTAGGCCTAGCATAGATTAAACGAGTATGTTTAATCGATGATTGTAGGTTCTATCCAGCTTGAATGCATTTATAGCTGCCTATGGTGCCGTCCAGATGCAGATCCCCTCACTTCGTTTTGAATATAGGAAAGAAAGAAACTGCTTGAAAATCTGAATAGTTTTGTCTTCTATATCGTCCAATCGCTGACAGTTTCCGATTCAACTGTCTCTCACTTATTACAATATTATCTTTTGAGAATAAAATAGCTAAAATCTCTGCATTATGAAGCCCTAATATAAAATAATCTTGGATAAGGCGTTCTTTGTGACCTTCATCCATTATACGACAGTACGTAATCTTCTCCAACTCCCAACACCTAGCACTTCGTGATATGAATAGTACAGCGGTCATTAATTCCATCCGCCAATGACATAAATTTCGTGTTTAAATTTAAAAGTAGAAATTTCATGTTTAAACCATGAAGTTGCGTAGAAACCTTTCTTTATCTATGGCCCTTCAGCGCCGTCGTATACGCCTTGGTCGTATTTTCTTTATTTTTCTCAGTCATTTCGCTAAATTTGATTGTGATTGAGATTGGATTGGATTGAAGTTCAGTCAGTAGTTCAGTTCGGTTTTTACTCAGGGGAGGTATAGATGAGCTTACGTTGACAGCTGAGGCACGGCCGCCTTTAACTACAGGCCGCGGCCTGGTAGAATTGGCAACATCGCATGTGGTGTAGTTCAGTGACAGACGTCCCATAAGATAATATGGCAGACAGGTGACATCAGCTCATTAATTCGCACTTTATTGATTTAATTTTTAATTTATGAACATAAATTTATTAAAATATTGAAAATAAAACATACAGAATTGAAAATTGAAACAATATGAATTAAAATCTATATCTGTACATTTTTAAGCGGAGTCAATATTGTCATAGTAAAGTAATCAATCTTTCGTAAATACACAAATACCATTAGTTGCTTCCAAAAAATCAGCTGTTACATCACCACTTGCGACGTTGCCAGTTCGAAGGCCGCGGCCTGGAGTTAAAGGCGGCCGCATCGACATATAAGGGCGGCCGTGGCTGTGGGCTTCTCATTAGCTGAGGGAAAACCATTACCGTAACAATACCAATGCAGCCATCGGCCTCGGTGGTCTAGTGGTTAACGTGCCGGGCTAATATGCTGAGAGTCCCGGGTTCAAATCCCACTGGTGGCACTAACTTTTTGACTAAGATTTTTCATTGTCAGCAAGTTTGGTTAGATCGGTTAGGTTATGATATTAATTTTATAATAAAAAATTATAAAATTGAATTTGAGGCATTTATAATTTTATTTTATGAACAGAACTATTTTTGCGATTAGTAAACCTTCATTGCCAAAATACTCTCTACTACAGCGCTGTACACGGAGGATTTTTGAACTATTTAACTAAAGCCTCAATGGTAACTCCCCTAAGTCAGACAGTCAGACCCGTTTCAGTTCAGTTCAGTCAGTTCAGTTCACTTCTTCTTGTTCTTTCTTCCTGTTGCCCTGTACTTCAACAAGGTATGTCATATTTGTGTCCCATCATATTAATCTATTTTAATTTATAGCATCCCTCTTCTTCAATACATTTTAAAGTTAAATCGAGTTTGTTAATTGTATGCTATATCTTGCTATTTGTTTCAGGTAATCACTCGCACCGAAAATGTCTGACACCGAAGGGTAAGTCCTACAACTTAACCTCTAACTCCCAAGTTCCATTTTGGTTATGTTTACACAAGTCATAGCTAGGCTACATAGGCTATTTTTCAAGTTTTTGCAATAACCTAGGCTACTACTTATTTATTTCACTTAAGATGGTATTAGCCCAAGAGCCCATGACTGCCAGACCTTTGTTATTTTATAAAAGCTAAAAGTTTCTCAGCAAAATGCTCCTAGTTCAGTTAAGAATGATCGGCATCCATGACATTTGGATTTTGGTTACATTGGTAACAAAAAGGTAACAAAGGTCTGAAATTTGCAAATAACCATCGTTAGAGTATAACCCTCCGAGTGTTATTTGTCGCTGCAGCGACTCACAAACACTGTTTAGCCTACGGCGAAGGCTCTATGACTGACAAAATCGGATTGAACTGGATCGAGTTAGGTATCGTTTTATTTTACAGATTCATAGCTTTCTCCGGAGGTCTGTCTCTAAGCGCTATTCATTTTAGTTTCGAAAATATTGTAGCAGACAGCTGACGTGCGTATTTGTAAACAGCTCGGTTAACCTCGGACCGATGACTGATGTGTTTTATTACGTTTATCATTGTGTTAGTGTTAAAAATCAAAAGTAGTGATATACGTGGTGCATTATAAGAAGATTGAAGTGATTTTGAAGGG